AAGGATACGAATTGATTGTCAACCCTTTGTGGAGTCATGTGATTACGTCTACAACATCAGATAATCATTCATTTAGAAAGTGTTACCATACTCTTACAATAAAAAGATGATCACAGAAATTTGAAACGTCTCTCTTTTTTTGTTTTGCTTGGGGATGACTCACCTGTTCAGACAATTTTTTCTTTTGATTAGAATGATAGTTTCACACGTTAAGTGTGAAATAATGACCTTAAAGCAGCGTAGCTTTATGTTCCTTCTCTCGTATTGATGAACTTTGATTGCTGGCCTCCTGACTGACCTCATGTTAATCACAGCTTCATGATTTGGACATTTGACTCTCCAGACTGCACCGCAGGAACAGACGGATCTTCTGTGTGAGAGGAGTCAAACTCTTACTTTTTTCTGTCATCAAGTTATTTTTCTTTGCTGATGAATGCCTTGTCATAGGGATGCGCTGTTGGTGCTGCTGTCAGTGTGTCATGACAGCAGATATAATGTTCAGCCTGAGCTGCATAAAAACTGTTGGATCATTTCTTAAAGTTGATGTTGGCGGTTCAGAGGTTGGACAGTTTGTTTTTTTTTTTTTTACCAACGTCGAGGGAAAAGCTATGACACAGGTTGACTCAGTGGTGTGGGATTAAAGAGGAGTCTAGAACCTTGTTGTTTTTTCATGGCTGCCACTTTGTCTAAACGAGACCTTTACGGGAGCTCCTCCACCAGATGAATTTAGCAATGATAACACAGCTAAATTATGATGTATAATAATGTGTAACGTATAATCCACAGGCCGTCCGTGTTCATGGTGTTAAAATATTTAATAGTAAAAGTCTAAAACTAGAAATCCTTCCTGGTCTGTGGGTAGGCTGTCGGCTCTCGTTGGATGAATATGACTGGTTTGTTCAGTCATATTCAATAAATTAGAAAAAAAGTCCTGACGTGTTCTGTTTGTCAGACTATAATTACCTTCTGAAAATAACAACCTTTAGGCAGTTATTAAACTTACTTTTCATTAAGCTCACATTTCAGTTTTTAAAAGTAGATTTTGTTTTGTTGGTTTTATGTAATAGTCATGTTTTCATTAGCTGTAAGTTGAAAATCATGACAATTTGCAGAAACAAAGGCTTTCACACATCCACCTCTGTGCAATTGATCTTTGCAATATGTCTCAGTTTGTGATAATTCCTGATATAAATGAACCTTTCAGAAATATTCTAATGTATTGAACGGGGTCTGTAAGCCTTTCTTAGGGCAGTTTGCATGTTCTCCATGTGCAGACATGAGTTCTGTATTGGTACTCCCACTTCCTCCCACAGTGTAAACCCTTTTCACTGTGGCTATGTGATCGTTCTATCTAAACTTAGAAAAAAAAATGCATAGCAAAAAAAAAAGAAGAAGAAAAAAGCTGCAAATGTGTCTAACTGTAGATTTAAAATGTAGACCTGGCTGGCAATATAAAGCAAAGTAAGTGCTTGATGCAGCCACATCAGTGGGCTCATGTCTCTTGTTAATTGTCTGGCAGCTGCAATCTGCTGTCGATCAACAGCACTTTGGCTGAAACAAGAAGACGAGCTGTCGAGACGAAACATGGTGTGAGCTGGTGAGCTTGACTTCGATCTATCTAGATCTAAATCTAAGTGGCTACCAACAAGGGAAGGTTAAAGATTATGTCCACACACGGCTCAGTGGCTTCTGCTCTTTCACGTTATGCTGTGTTGCAATCAAATGTTTTCATAACCGTTGAAATCAGAAAATCCATGAATTTCATTTGCATTTAATGTGACAAGCTGACCAATTGTAGTATTAAAACGTAAAGTGGAAATAAATGTATACTTGGTTTCAAAAATAGATTTGTATTCAGCCTGTTTTACACTGATAACTTAAAATCTAGAGCAGCCTTTTACCTCCAGAAAAGGCTGGGAAAAGTTGGTGAGAAGTTTAAATATGCTGTTTAATGTACTTTCGAGGCACATAGTGGCATTTTTTTAGCACAATCAAGTAACTATGTTACCTACAGTTAAATAAAAAATGTATATATATATCAAATATGACTTAAAAAATTTTGACTTTGTAGTTTAACACTTTGAAATAGGGACTCTGTCTCTTTAAAAATTCATGCTCTCAAACCTCCCAGGCATTTTTCACAGCTGAATTGTTGTATGAAAGAATCAACGGAACATTCAGTGTTTGTTTTTAATGAGGGAATAACATCATAACATGATGTGAAGCTCAAAAATGTCGATTTCACAAAACAGCATCCCAATACTCCAAGGGAAGTAATCACCAACGAAACAACCAAGAGGCCCAACGTAACTCTGGAGATCCTCTGATCAGATGAAAAGATGTGTTGTCAGGACAGTTATGAGTTGTGCAATCCAAACTCCAGCAGTCAGAAAAGAGAGGTGAGAAGAAAGCTATCGTTGAGAGAAAGTCTTCAGTCTTCACTGGCAGTTTGCCACAAACCGTGTGGGAGACGCAGCGAACGCATGAAAGAAGGTGCTGTGGTCAAACGAGAACAACATGTAAGCTTCTTGACGTTCATGTAGCTCAGCGCTGTGGGCAGAAAGCTAATGCTAGGCAACACTCAAGAGAGGGGCCCAAAACCTGCAGCTCCAAAGCCACAATGTGGCTCTTTGGCCCTTCCCTTGTGTGGCTCTCACAAAACCAAATTAAAAATGTTTTCATTGTGAAGGGAATAACAAAGTGTGGTTTTAGCTGTTTTTTTATGTAATGTTGAGGAAGAAAATTCAGAAAATCTGGCAAAATTTAGCTACCACTCTGTATTAATTTATAGCATAATATCTCAAAGGTTTCTTATGCGTTTATAACCTCAGAGTGAAATAATATGAAAGAGCTTAAGGAGTTTCCTAATACTTTTATGAGGCAATGTATAGGTAATGGATTAAAAACACATTGTGACATAGCTGGAGTCTTTAAGCAGTTATAGTCATTGTCATCACTTATGTTGTAATTAGGGGTCAAATAGGTCTCTCTTCCATAAATATTATGTTTATATGTTGACTTGTAGTTTGGGGTGGAAATCTGTCTCACGGGCGGAATCAGTTGTGAAATATCGTGACCTTTTAGAGGATTTAAAATCCGCCCAAAACATCAGAGATTTCATCACTGATCCTAATCGTCACAATTCTACAGAGAAGCATGATTTCACAACACGCGCTGACGCAGCATTAGCATCTCCAAATGTCAATGGCTTGCCAAGGGACAAAAAATAGTCAGTCGGACATCACAGAGTGGATGTGGGATGGAATGCAACATAAAATCATCATAGACATATTTTTCTTTTCACTTGAATTATGACGCACCACACAATACCCACCTGCTTGGTCTAATGCAAATAAACGTCCCCATCTTCTGTCCTGTAACACAAACACTGACATGTTTGGCTAAATCAAACTTGAAGGTGTGATGTGAAACTACTTCCTGTGGTTCTGAACACAAGGTGATTTACAGAACCTCCCAAATTATTTCTGTCACTTAATTTTTCTTTCATGGTAAAACCACTAACTTCAGTGTATTTCTGTAGTTGTGATAGACAAACAAGACATAGAGCAGAATTGTAAATTGGACAGAAAATCATAGTTTTTTTGCTAATAAAAAATCTTAAAAGTATGCAGAGATTTGTATGTAGCCCTCCTGTGTTCAAACATTTTAAAACCAACCTTTCCTGCAAACATTCTTTTTTCCAATATGTTTCTACCAGATTTTCACATATAGCAACTGAAATTGTTGGCGCATTCTTCTTTACAAAACAGCTCAAACTCAGTCAGGTTTGACATTCAAACACATTCTGACACACACATTTTTTGAGAGGCTGTAAACAAATGGGATAATTGATCAATGTTTTAATCTGAAAACAGTTAAAAAAAAATTAACTTGCTATTATCTAAATCTTTAGAATCTTGTATTTTCAATGTGTGCTGTAAAGTTCCAGCTGAACTTCCAGATCATCATATTTCCCCAGTACATCATCTGACATCACCCTGCAGAAAAATAATGTATGACTTATTTAGAAATGATTAAAGCATTTTGAGGTAAAAGACCATTTTTAGAACTGAGTGTAGCTGACTAACCTGTTAAATTGGAACATAATTGTTTTGTTTTTGCTTTTCTTAACACATAAAAACAATTTCAGGAGAATATACAGGTGTGTTGGAATATAGTGAAACATTTATTTTTTTTCACTCATTACCAAAATGAAAGTTTTCTAATTTTGATGAGTATGCCTTACAGAACCCAGAATTCAGAGTCTCGAAAAATAAGAGCATAAGATCAGTAAAAAATAATATTTTAAATAGTGATGTCAGGCTGTTTATTTAAAGTGTTTATTTCTACTCACTCAATTGCTTGTTTGGGGCCTCAGTTTACTCAAGTTCCCTCTGATTCTTGAACTAGTTTTGCTTGACAATCTTCTCAAGGCTGTAGTTATTCCTGTTGCTTGTGCACGGTTTCCTACCACATGTTTTCCTTCCACTCAACTTTTTAAGAACATGTTGTGTGAACAACCAGCTTCTTTAAGAGTGACTTCTTGTGGCTCGCCCTCCTTGTGCAGGGTGTCAGCAACAGTCTTCCCTGAGAGTATGTCCAACTGAGCCAGAGTGAAAGAAACTCAGGAAATCTTTAAGATAATTAGATTAATGACACCAGGAGTTTCCAATATTTAACTTTTTCACAACATTCAAATTTTCTCAGGCACTGGATTTTAGGTTTTCATTATCTGTATGCCATAATCATCAAAATAATAAAGACTTGAAATATTTTATTGAGTGTAAATTATGTGTTTCACTTTGTAAAGGAGTGACAAAAATCTTAAACTTCCGTACTATTTATCATAGTAAAACAGTATCTAAACATTTTAATTTTCTATCATATTCTATGATTTTTTTTTTTTTTTTTTGACGTACGTGTATTATAATTATTTAATTGGTACTGCTGAATCACACCGCTGTGTCCTACTGCCCTCTGTAGGCGTCTGTGGACGAAACTTTCTTCTAATCCGACAGGTGGCGCTGCCGCATGACGAGATAGGCGCTTTTACCGGAAGACAAGTAGTGATTGCAAGCGGCAGCTTTCCGTGTTCTGCAGGCCTTTCCTTGAATTGTGGTGGAAGAGGAGTGAAAATAAGGGGAAAATGGTAAGTGTATAGTGTTCATATTTGTATAATATCGGGCAGGCGGAGTATGTGGAGATGTGTGTGATGGTGCAGCGGTGTTCCCGGCTGTGTGAGGAGCGGATGGAGCTGGATGCCCGCGGATGTTTGCTTGTTTCTGGCCGGTGAGCCGCTTAGCTCCAGCGTGGCGACTCATGGCTGACTGGACCTCAGCTGACCTCCTGGAGCCTTTCCAGAAACTTAAAAGTTCTGGTTGAGCCTCAACAGATAATAGTTTGTTTATATTCTGCTATGTTGTCTTTAGTGTTAAACTGACGCGCGCGCGTGTGTATATTCGCAGGGTTTCGTCAAGGTGGTGAAAAATAAAGCCTATTTCAAGAGATATGAAGTGAAATTCAGAAGAAGAAGAGGTAAAGTGCTTCTACTAACATTCACCAAATTGTGATTCCTAGTAAATGTCTATAGAGCAGAGGTGGGCAGTCCTGGTCCTCGAGGGCCGGTGTCCTGCAACTCTGGTCCAACACACTTGAATCCAACAGCTGAATCGCCTCCTAAGTGCAGTGAAGTTCTCCAGAGTCCTGCTAATGACCTCATTATTTGACTCAGGTGTGTTAAGTAGAGATGCATCTAAAAGTTGCAGGAGCCCGCCCCTCGAGGCCTGGAGTTGCCCACCCCTGCTATGGAGTGTAGTTCATGTGCTGGGGGGAAAAATTGTTTCCAAAACAAATGGAATAAAATAAAATATACATAGGTAAAAATGACAGTATCTGGGGTCATTTTTGACCCTCTGGTCATAGCTAAAATGTTGTAGGAGTGAGCTGTGAAATGTTATCATAGTATAGTGAATTAATTTAAAGTTTGCTACTGCAGAGCTGTGTAGCTAGCTTTCTCTGGGTGGGTTCTGATCAGTGATTGGCAGGTCAGTAAACACAACATGAAGGTTCTTCCTCTCTTACAAATTTCTTGTATTCCGTTTGTTTTCCAAAAACCTACGATACAGAAATAATAGCTTGCTTCAAGTATTTCGCTTAAAAAATAGTGGTGTAATCAGATTAATTGGTACTTATGGAATAATAAGCCGCTGACTCTGCATCCTATTGAATTATCAGAGGGGAAAACTGACTTCTACGCCCGCAAACGGCTGGTTGTTCAGGACAAGAACAAGTACAACACCCCCAAGTACCGGCTGATTGTCCGACTCTCCAACAGGGATATCTGCTGCCAGGTTAGCCCCCGACACACACACACACACACACACACACTTAAACACTCCTTTAAAAAAAAAAAAAAAAAAGATCCATTCCACCGTCTTCTGTTTTCTCCCGTCGTCCAGATCGCCTACTCAAAGATCGAGGGAGATCACATCGTGAGCGCCGCCTACTCCCATGAGCTGCCCAAATACGGGATCAACGTGGGGCTCACCAACTACGCTGCGGCGTATTGCACCGGACTGCTGCTGGCCCGGAGGGTAAGCACACCACCACTGAAGGATCTGACCTCTGAACCTCCACAGCCGTTCTTCTCACCAAGGTTACTGTAGGTCACGAAAGCCAACCAAAACTGAAATTAAGAAAACAGTTTCGGTAACTGAAATAAATAAAAACGGTAATTAAGGAGGGGAAAAGAATAACTAACTTGGAACTGTATCATGTGTTTGTAAAACTAACTGAAACATACTGAAGTTATAGATATATTATTCTTCGTTTAACCTTTCGAAAAGATTTGAAATTTGTTTATTTTTTCACTCACACAAGCAGTTTACCTCGGCTGGGGGCTCATCACGGTACTCCATACTCCTCCTGGTGGCTACGCTATGCTAGTCCACAAAATAGTGACAGCAAAAGTTGGGAGAAAACACCAGTCAGTTGTTCAACAATAATTTAATACACTTTATCAAAATGGAATCTTGTGTTGAGCATTCACTGCAGATTGATTGGGTAATCAATGTAAACATAATCACAATACAATGCACCGTATGAACAAACTAAAACTACTACAATATTTAATAAAAACTAAAGTAAAACTAAATATTAACCAATAATAACTAAGAAAAAATTGCAAATTGACACTAAAAGCTAATTAAAGCAAACTGAATTAGACAGACCAAAAGTCACAACAAAATAAAACGAAATGACAATGAAAAAAACCCGAAACTATTTTCTTCATAGCTGCTGCACAAGTTTGGCATGGATCAGGTGTACGAGGGCCAGGTGGAGGTGACGGGAGATGAGTTCAACGTGGAGAGTGTGGACGGACAGCCGGGCGCCTTCACCTGCTACCTGGATGCTGGGCTGGCCAGAACCACCACAGGGAACAAAGTGTTTGGAGCGCTGAAGGGGGCAGTGGATGGAGGCCTGGCCATTCCTCACAGGTCAGTGTGATGGGTGTGTGTGTGTTCGAAAATGTTTGTATCAAAGCAGGGAGTAGATTGGGCTGTAAGGAGCAGAGCTTCATCAGACATTCAGAAGGCTGCTGGATTAAACTACACAAACTAATGAAGCAAGAGCAACAATTCAGACAGAGTCCCAGCCGAGGTTCCCATGGTTTCGGTCAGACCACCTCTGAATTCACCAACGTTACCAACAGACCTGTGTCGATGTTCTGTATCTGCTGTTTGCAGAAAACTTAGTCCAGATTTATCAGGTTTCCTGTGCAGAATTTTTCTGAGAGTTTAGGAAAGGGAAAATAAAAAAAACTTGGAACTTAATACCCCCCAAAATAGAAATAATTTCTCAATAATGCACCTGGAAAAAAAAACAGAGGTAGCATCAGTTCAGCCACACCTTTCAGATCTCGAGGTGTTTGGTGTTTATAGAATCTTAACCATGTGGTGCAGAAAACTGTCTGAAAATCGATGTATTAACTGAGTGTTTCTGTTTATTTGTATAATCCATCCATCCATTTTCTGTACACCCTCGTCCCTAGTGGGGTCAGGAGGGTTACTGGTGCCCATCTCCAGCAAATGTTTCGTGCGAGAGGCGGGGTCACCCTGGACAGGTCGCCAGTGTGAATTTGTATAATATATGGATAAATAAATTGCAGGAGACTGGACAGCACATGAATATGAATCTTTTATTAACCAGTCAGACTAACAGTATGAAAAAGACTCCACAACCACAACGGTCAGCAGATGGCGGTATACCCTGTGAAAATAACTCCTATAGTTCATACAGTTTAGATAAATTTTTTGTTTGCTTTGTTCTTTGGTACAACTAAAGAAAGAAAGTCAGGTGCATCAACTGCATTATGATAAAAAATTAGTTTATTATTTGGGATTTATTAGCCAACAGTTATTGCCATCTAAGCAGTCCTTTGCGATATGAATATTGAGATGATGATATATTTGCACTATATTGTGCAGCCCTGATGGTCATCTTTCTTTCCTTTCTTTCCCCACTTCATTTACTTTGTATAAAAGAAGGGGCATAGTTACTATAGAGTCACCCATTCATCAATTTGCCACATAAACATTTAAGGTGAAGCCATGTTGGTTTTCTGTTTGTAACTGCAGACGTGTTTCTACTTGTATATCATCAGGTTTTCATGGAAAGTTGTTCCACAGATCCTGGTGCAGGTTAATGAGGTCAGAGCTGCTGGTAGGGGTGATGCATCAATCCTGAGCAGAATATGTAAATCAAACAGTTCATAATAAATGGATCTGATGAAAGCAGAATATTTCTTTTCAGCCGTTTTGGTTATGAAACATTTAATAAAGCACATCTGGTTGAATTATGTCCTGACTTCTAAAAAAAATCAGATTTGATGTTTTTTCAGAGTCACTTAGTCTTGTGTGTATTCAAGTTTCTGCTTTCTTTCATTAGCTTCTGCTAATTTGGATTTGTGGAAGTAAACATGTGGACAGGACAGAGTTGGAAAGTGATTCACTTGTTTTGTCCCTTTTTCTTTTGAACAGCTGGTTAATATTTACAGCAGAACCTCCATGAAACATGTGGCTGCATCAATGCCCTTTGCAGTTAAAGTTTCACCAGAAGGTGTTTGCCTTGCAGCCAGATAAATGTCAGCACACAGCCACTAAAGAGCTGGAGTTAAAACAGGCAGATAATCCACATGCCTTCATTGTCCCATTCACATTCTGAACATAGAAAGGTTTGTTACACAATTGGCTCCAAAAATGATCATCATAAATTCTACAGGGAAGAGAAAAAAGCCCTGTACAGTTACCACTGTACAGGGTAACAGTATCTGCTGATCAGCAGCCTGTAACATTAGGAGCTTATTAAAGCTCAACTAAAAATGTCTTGCAGTGTGCTGCCAAAAGCATTCATTGTTTTTTCTTCACCTGTATAAACCTAAGCGTAATCCTGTTCTGAAACCTCAGGTACCAATATGATTTCTGTCCACAGAAAAAACATTGAATAAATCAGAACCACACAGATTTTTTTTTTTTTTTTTTTTTTCTGACCCTGTGTCGGCTAGGCTATACACAGGCCCGTTGCCATAGCAACTGACAACAATGTCATTAAAGAATCGGGATTCAACACCAAAAACACACAAACATTTTCCCCACAAAGAACAAAGCATTCAGTCTGTTAGCTTCATGTTTTTAGGCTTGACGTTTATTTTGCGATTATTATCCCCTCAGCAGGAAGTTGGGGGGCGGAATCTTGTGCGTGCGACGTCACGTTGCAGCGCATCTATAACTGGTCCTTCATTTTATTCTGATGCATGTGCATACATGCAGACGGTCAAACTAGTCCCACCCCGTCTCACTGGTTCTCCTCTGCTTCTTGGTGATGATAAACGTACGCTGAGCAAAATGTAGTTGGTCCTTCATTTGCACCGGCTGATGTTTACTGTCCTTTTCAAGACGGGGCTGAGAGAAGCAAGGTGAACCGAAGCAGACAAGTAGAACCGGGTTCCTACTGGTCTGTTGGCTTAGGTTTTATTAGGAAGAGTAGAATCAGTCCGAACTTCACTTTCTGACTCTGTCTTGTTCCGTGCAGCTTGAAACGCTTCCCCGGTTACGACACAGAGAGCAAAGAGTTCAACGCGGAGGTGCACCGAAAGCACATCATGGGTATGAACGTAGCGGATTACATGTCCTACCTGATGGAGGAGGACGAGGACGCCTACAAGAAGCAGTTCTCCCGCTTCATCAAGAACGGAGTGACACCGGATATGGTAGGGTCGCCGCTCAGAAAGAAAGCCAACTTTACCAAACATTCTGCTGTTCATCTCTTGTTCTCGAATTTGCTTCTCGGTGATGATAAACGTACGCTGAGCAAAATGTAGTTGGTCCTTCATTTGCACCGGCTGATGTCCACTGTCCTTTTCAAGACGGGGCTGAGAGAAGCACAGCAAATCCTTCTGAAGTCTGAGATGTTGCTGATCCACTGTTCAAATGATGCAATTCTGCTTTCAGGTAGAAGAGATGTATAAGAAAGCACACGCCGCCATCAGAGCCAATCCCGTACATGAAAAGAAACCCAATAAAGATGTCACAAAGAAGAGGTGGGTTCCAGGTGGATTCAGAAATGTAGTCTTTTTTTATAAAAAAAAAAAAAAAAACTGCGTGTGTTTAATGGCAGATTCCTGGTGTTGGGTTCCTTTCGTAGATGGGCCTACTTTTTCTCGGCTGATGTAGTGAATGTTAATGAACTGGCTTTTTGTTTGTCGTCTGGCAGGTGGAACCGCGCCAAGTTATCCCTGGCACAGAGGAAGAACCGCGTTGCCCAGAAAAAGGCCAGCTTCTTACGAGCGCAAGAACAAGAAGCAGGGGATGGTTAGGGGAAGAACATGTCAGAAAAATAAATCTATTAAAGTCAACCCTGTGTCTCTACTCTTACTGGTGTCTCATGGTTCAGTTTAAAGAATTGGGTCTCAGTGTTTTACATAAAAGTACTTTTAAGTTGCCAGTCCCCAATGATGGTAAATGATACCTTAAAGTTTAAGGGGCAGTATTGTTTAAAATATATATATTTTTAAACTTTACATCAGATTTTTATTCCCTCATCAAAAACATACCTGGAGTGTTGCCTTGATTCTTTCATGATCCTTTAATCTCCCATGGCAACCATTCAGCTATGTAAAACACCTGGGTGGGACAGAGGCACAACTCCTCTGAGTTGTAGTTTCCAAGCTTCAAAGCTTCTGCCTCACAAAGCCTCAGAGTTCTATAACTGCTCCTTCAGACTAGCCAGGAGCAATTAGCAAACACCTGAGGGGAATTATGCATCTGCTGAGCTCATTATAGGAGCTTCCTCTCAGGGCAACACTGGTTAAAATTGTTAAAGGGTTAATAGAGGAGCCATGTTGTGATAACTTCCTGAAGGTGGAATGTTGGAAAGAGCAAGTTTCTTAAAGAGACAGAAGCCCAATTTCAAGGCACTAAATTATAAAGTTGAATTTTCTTTTAAGTATATTTGATGCATACAGCATTTTTATAACAAAGGTAACAGATACTCGACTGTGCTATTAAATTATACTATGTGGCTGGAAATCACATACTGCCCCGTAAGGACTTGAACTGTTCAAATTACATTAAGGTTCCCAAAAGTTAGAATTCCCTTTGGGAATCTTCTCCCAACATGGCTGCTTTGCAATAAACCTTAGGAATAGTTACAGTAAAAGGTTCATTTCCACTTTTTGTTCATAAATCTTTCACACACACACACACACACACACACACAGCATGACTGTCACATTGAGTTAGCATGTCACTACAGTGTTTTATATTAAGTACAAGATGTGAGAAATGCAGGGGCTTGTCTAAGTCTGAATGATTCAGATTTATGTGGGAGTAAAATTCAGTCTTAAGATTTATATAAAATCTGCCAACAGAATTGTACCATGTACCATACAGCACATGAACTCAAAACTTGGTTGGGGCTCATTTTGAATCGATAATTTTTAGGTGCAGCGCAGCATGGAGATCAGCCTGAGGAGTTCAGGAAACCCAGCAGCTTTTAATATTACCTCTGGTGTCTCTTATCTTCCCCTTAGCCCATGGAGTTCCAGTCTGCTGCTCCATCAGCACAACAATACAATAGTCATTAGAGCAGGAACTAACTAAAAAAGAATTAAAAATTAAATTGGCATCCACATAAAAAATTTACAGGGGAGGGAAAGCAACGAGCGCTCTACCGTCTCCCAGACGGCTGCTCTAACTTTGGACTAAATAAAACAGACCAACTGCTGCAGATTCGGATTCACTCCCAGAGTCATGACTGACTGGAAACTTCAAACTGGACTTCAAGTGTTTTGAATGTGAATCAGAACCTTTTGTTTTGCGATTAATGTCTGAAGAAGAAAAATTGGCTAAAACTGGAATTGGCAAGTCAGGCTTTTTAAAAATCAGTGATCGACCAGAAATCTGCAATCGGTGCAGCTTTAAACTGCTAACAGTAGCCTGCTTATTGACCATATAAAATAAGAATCCCACTGGTTGGTTGGTTCTTGGTTCTATAACATGGTAAAGATGGTATTTGCAGGTCCAACTTTGACTTTAAGGGAACATGCAACACAAGTAATGATCACCACTTTCTGGTTTAGTGTTTCCTGCTTCAGTTTGTAGTCAAAGTTGAACATTTTTCTACTGGTTTTCTCTTTTGAGTCACTTCTACTTAAAACAAAGATCAACTTGTTTTAACAACTCATCTTTTAAACTGTTGGAGTTCAATCCTAATAAAGACACCTTGCATTCGGGACAATAAGTGGTATGGCATTTAATTGTGCAAAAATCATGCTGGTTTCTTCAAATAGTAAACATCACAACTCAAGGCAGCACTGACTGCAATGCTGATGTGCTCTACAGGTCAGCTAAGTCTACAATTCAGTGGTTGAAGTCATATTTGAATCCAGCTACAATGAAAAGGAACCTTAAAAAAAAAAAAATCAGCATTGGATGTCTAAGATCACATTTCCATCGACAGTAAACATTCTTAAAGTAACTTCAGCATCATGTGTGATGGAATTCAAAAATAGACCGTTTTACAGATCATTTTAGTGAGAAATACAAACATGGAAAATTTACACGTGAAGGTTTTCGCTGTGTTAGAAACACCCGGTACAGCGAGTGATGAACACAGATACACAGCATGACATGATGGATTCTGATCCGTGTCCTTCAGAGTTCATCTGGACAAAAGCAATGAGAAAATCTGAACCTCAATTACTTCTGGTCTGATAATAATAAAATAATTATTTCAAGACATATGGGCAGAACAAACACCAACACTGTTTTTGTAGCATCCTTTATAAAAGGATGTTTCTGAACTATGTTCTGCAGCAGTGTCATAGTCATGATTGATCCATTAGTTGTAATTATGTCAACGAATATGGCGCCAGGAGGGATTATCTTGCAGTTTGAAAACAGACATTTGAGAAAAACATTCCTGTGCTCGAGAGCATAAAGACACTCAGACTGAAATGAAGGCCTGTCAGTTGAATTTGGCCACTGAGGTCAAAGGTTTACGCAGTTCCATTTAGTCACAGTTTGGAGTTAGAGTACAGTTTATCCTGTCTTACATCTCAGACAATGCTAACCTGGACAAGTCAAAGCCTTTCTGATCTTCATTTCTTAGCCATCAGACAGTTAACGCTTGTCAACACTTAAGATCACATTCAAAATAAGCAACATCAGACCGACTCATCAGTTTTTAGTGGAAATATTTGTAGGTGCTAAACTGATTTAGCTCTAGATGTAGTGGAGAAATGGAAAACCAACAGACATGACCCGCAGCCTGCTGTAGCCATTAATTAAAAGGAGGTGTGTTCAAAATAATAGTGTGAAATTCAGTCAGTGAGGTGCTAGCTGTTAAGCGGTTGGTTCCTCATTTAAAGGATGAAGCAGAGGAATATTGTTCCAGGCGTTGTCCAGAAGAAGATGCTTCTTTGACTGAAACGCTGATCGAAGGGAGGGCAGAAATGGAATTGCTGAAAAGAACAGGCTGATCTACCAGAATGATCTCAAATGCTTTACAGAGGAATACATAACTGGTTTTATGGGCTACAGAGTGGCACAGTTGATAGCACTGCTGCCTTGCAGAAAAAAGGTCTTGGGTGTGAATCCCAGCCTGGGGTCTTTCTCCATGGAGTTTGCATGTTCTCCCTCTCTAATGCATTTCTATTTCTAAAAATACATTTACCAGTCTTTTTTTTTTGGTTTTGTTTTCTTTTTAAATACATCTCACTTCTATTATTTTGAACACAATCAAAGACCACATTTGCTAGAACGAGCCAGTAGGTCATTCTAACTTAGCAGTAACCGTGGTAATGCTTTGTTTCCGGGGTTGGATATGCTTGGTTTATTTGAAAACGGGAAGCTTGTAGTTCCCTTTTTGTTTTTACATGGAGCCTGAGCTTATTAACAGCTGATTTACAGTTGAGTAAACGGGGTCAGTAGTGGCGTGATTTCTGTCAGCTCCATTGTTAGCTGGCTTTATGTATTACCAAACCATTTATGAAATGTCTTTGAACTGTTTTCCAGTTCGAACACCCGACAGCATCAAAGTCTCATTCCTCTGACCCAAACTGTCACCCTAAATAAAAGGAAATTGTCAGGATATTTCAGACAGCATATTCTTTGACCACATCAAATGACCTGAACCTGTAAGACACAACGACCCCAAACACACACCAAAACTGGGTTTGAAATTTAACTTGTTGTACAATCACTGGGCCTAGAAAGAACCTGTTGAAAATCAGGAAATCCAGCACAATAACATAAACCTTTGACCAGCTCTTGACTTTCAGATTACAGCTTCGGCAATGACATTACATCTCATGTTGTGATAATAAGAAACTGAAAGCAAAGCGTCTTTAGATCTCTTGTTGATAGAAGGTTCATAATCAGCTGTACCATAAGTTTACATCAGTGTTAAGTTGCCTCTTTGTAGTTCATCTTTCTATCACTGTTTGAGTTTACTAAAGTCATAGTGTGTTCTAAGAGTGGAGGAAAGAATCTAACCTCAAAAACTATCATTTAGTGAGATATAAAATAGTTCTAAGTTTCGATGTGCATGTTTTGTTTATATTTCGTTTTGCTTAGTTTTCTAAGTGTAGTTCAAAAAATAAAGGAGTGCAGTGGTAACAGTGGTCCCCTGTGGATTTGATCAAATATTTGTCTCATCCTTTTTAAAAGTGCACTCTGATTTTCTAATACTTCTTCATCTCAAAGTAAAGGTGATGTAGATCCGCTGTAGGATGGTTTTGGCAGAACGAGTGAATTAGTCACACGAGTCATTATCTCAAAAATAACATTCCACTGTGGTGAACAACATAAAACATTACCATACTTTTCAGATTTGCCTGATGAGAACACACAATCACCGAGTTCAGGTTTTAGGCCCCAAACTTTTAGAAAAGCAAAGAGAGTAGTGGTGCATATTTTACACACCTGGTCCAAAGTTTAAAAACAAAAGATATTAAACTTGCTAACTTATTTACGGTAAATTTGGTATTTCAAATAGTTTCAAACAGTTAAATTAATGTGCCACACTTAAATAACACTCTGCATTACAAAATGATAATGAATTAGAGCACCTTTGTTTGTTTGCTACTCCTGAAAGGAGGTGGGCAAAACCTAATAGGAAGGCTGAACGCATTATGGTAAAGGTGCTTTGTTTGAAAATTAAACCTCTACCTTACTTTTAACTCATGTGAAGCACTTTGAATTGCCTTGTTGCTGAAAATGTACTATATAAATAAAATTACCTTACCTTTCATTGAAGGGAACATCCTGAATTTGAAAATGTCAAAGGACTCTAAAGGGATTACACACCAATAATACTAATTTTAATGCTAACTATGCTAATTGCTAATAAAATGCTAAATCCAGCTGAAAATGTCCAATCATTGTTTTCCTTAGTTATAAAACAGTAATAAAACTTTGCTGCTCCTTCACACCTGCTTGCTGTTACCTCTGCTCCATTTAAATATGACCGCTCACAGCAAACAGGCTTGAAAAAAATATTTGGAATTGTGTCTTAATATCGTCTCATCCTAGTTTTAAAAGAGAAATTGCAGAGTGAAAATTGGTAATGCTTTATAAAAATGGAGATCGGAAATTGGCCCCAAAGTTCTCATCAGTGCATCTCTATTCATAAGTGTTAGAGGGTGATGGATATGATTTCATTATATATTCTACTCATAAATCACAGCATTGCTTTCACTCGGCTCCACTTGGAGACCTGATGATCAGGGTTTCAAAACGACAATCCCCCACATCATGAGTCCTTGGTGTGTGAGATCCGTTTCCAAAGCAGAGCTTTCAGGTTGTTGAGGATGAGTGAGTGTTCCATATTCATCTGACCGGCGTTACCTCTGAGAGCCATGCAGGCATACAGTTGCCTCTCCAGCTCCTCTCTCATTTCTGAAGGCACCCCACGCAGGATGTAGTCCTTCAACACGCCGCATGCTTTTGCTAGGTTGGGCTGAACCGGCTCCTCCCTGCACCGCTTCTTAGACGGGTCACATGAGGTCTGGCAGTCTGCTCCATATATGCAGTCGGCGTCTGTCTCACACTTCAGGACTCTCATGGTGCGCCTAAACTCCTCTTCAGGGACCAACACTTGCGTGTTTGTGAGCCGGAGCTCATGGCGGTCGGTGTAACCAAAGTGCATGGCAGCGAGGTCGCAGATCAGAAAGCTCCCGTAGGTACCGTGAAAAATGTCCTCCACGAGCTCCAGCAGGCCCATGGAGATTTTAGCTTTGCGAGGCCAGGAAGGGGTGAACCACTGGTCCATGGTGCGCTGCAAACCTCCTGGCACCCAGGACACAAGAGGCCAGGGCAATGAGAACCCATAGAGGGGCCCGTTGGGGATCCGCTCTGTCATGTAGAGATCTCCACAGTAGCCAAGAAGCCGTGGTGTATGCCCACGATCCTGGAGCAGCAGGCCCAGCAGAACCTCAATGAACAGAGTAGAAGTCTGTGTCATCACAAGGCTACAGAAAAACACTCAGCATCAATAAATAAAAACTAACAGTTTTCTTGCTTTGAAGCAGATTCAGTCACTCTTCAAAAGGTTTGGGGTCATAAAGTCTATTGAAGCCCAATGCAAGCTTTCCAAAACTAACTTGTGTGTGAAATCATTGTCTGATAGGAACAACCAACTGTGTCAAAGTTTCAATAATTGGACCCAAACTGCCAGCAATCGATGAAAAGGAATTAGTTAAAGTCTTTCTAAATAAATGAAAAACCAACAAGACTCAAGCAGACAATAAACCAGAGGTCCACAGTGATGAAACCGCAAAATAACAATATGAGACAAATATTGAGTTGTTTAGTAAATGACTATAGGAATGTTTGATTTTGTAACCTATCACCATGGTGGTGGTAGAGTCAAGCTGAGGGTCTTTTTCCCTGCCAGAAGTACAGATGTATTGCACAAACCAAAGAGAATAATGGCTGAGATGGAATACTTCCAAATTCTCCTTATTTAACTAAAACCAACAACTAGATGTTTGAAACATGGTTAGTGTTTGGACACTGCAAACAAGCAGCAGCACAAATTTTGTCTCGGCTTTAGAAGAGAAACATCAAGAATCCTCAATGACCCCGTCAACTTTATAACTGAGAAGTTATAGACTGTGACTGAAAGTTGGAATACTCTGAGAAATGAAACGAGTTCCACCATTTCGAATAAAAAGATGTACCAACCATTCAACCAGAATTAAACAGCAACACTGAGGCTCTTTGTTTCAAATTGAAGACAAACCTGATGAAGCTTATCAAAGGACCACCATAAGATCACTCTTCAACTCTGCAAGCTAGGACATTTAAACTACCATGTGAGATACCTCATCCATCTGCAGAAGGGCCCACGTTGAACGAGCCTCTGGGAGTGACACCCGTCCATCTCTGTTGCCATCAGCGACGGAGAGGATCTGGCTGACAAGACTGGGAAGGTCCGCGTGCTCTCCAAGCTTGGACTGGTAGAGAAGGGAAGACATGTAAGGCTTTCATCCATCTAGGATTTAGTTCTGTGCAAACTTGAATTACTCAGGTGGATGCTCCTCTACCTTGAGATGGTTGAAGAGCATCTCTTTGAACTTCTCAACAGAGGTTCCTCTGTTAGGCTTGTCAAACACTGGGGTTTCTCTTCGTGGCTCTGGCTCCTCGCCCAGCTCGTAGTGACCCACCTCCCCCAGTTTGCAGCGGATGATCCCACCGTGGTCCCCCCAGCCTCCTGTGTACACCTGGAAAAAAGCAGGTCGTCAGTCAAACACCACCTACTATATGCTAAATGATAGTGAATAGTAGTTTAAGAAGAAATCCTACCTGGTTGTTTGGTAGTGTAGACAGACACCTGCCCATGTAGAGCGTTTCCTTTTCACACAGACTGCTGCAAGCGGAGCCATCGATGATTCCCCTCCTGTATTTATCACACTTGGAAAAGAAAATGGTGAATTTTAGAGAATTCTGGTTCCACGCTTTGCTGCAAACATAGGGTCTGGACTCTCAGCTTTGGAAAAATTATTGCTTGCTGGAAGCAACCCTAGATAGGCAGACTACAATCTAAAACAGCACAGGAAATCAATGTCATTGTTCACAACTCCTCCTTCTGTTTGCCGATTGACTGGAATGAAATGGATCCAGACAAATTGAGTTCAGTGGGAGAAATCCCAGACAGAGCACTTAAAGGGAGATGAGAATCAAGCTGAATTCCATAGCAAGGCAATAAAGAGCGTAGTGTTTTTCTGGCAATCCTTCAAAATGAGCCATGTTTAGGCTTAAACGTAATTTGCAGACTTGGACTACTTAGTGTTTTGTGTTCATGAATTTGAGCAAACAGATAGATTATGGGCGTCCTCAAGGTTCCAATCTCAGCACACTTTTAATAAAGACACATTTGTACAAGCTAGAGGAGCAACCGAGTACTACAACATCTCACCCCATGCCTGCACCAATAACCCAGATCTTTCCATATGATCACAGTCCCTCACAGGTACAAAGCAAATCTGTTCATAATACAGAAAATGCAAAGGCAGAGATCAGATGTTATGCTCAGCAATGCAAAAAAGTGCAGAAACTTAAAAGCTATAGAGGAAGATCAAAGTTATTACTTTTACAAGCACATGAACTCACTTAATAGATCTAAAATCTTCTGAAATATATCAACAAAATAGAGCATATAATTAAGAAAAGAAAAAAAAACGAGTTTTCATTTTCAGTAGATTCGATTGTTGTAAAGGTGTCTTTTCAGGTGTGGAAAACAACTTTAATTCTGACCAACATGGAGAAAATGGAACAGATCACAGAGTCCATACATGTATGTACTTTACTGGTTAATCAGTAATTACTAATAATTTACTTCACACCCCTCCCAGCCCCACTAGAGGCAAGGTGTAAAGAAAATGGATGGATGGATTGAATTTACTTCACATAGAAACACTAAAGGTGTCACTTTTCCTCCACTGCTTCTTTATTTAATCAGAACTTTCTGGTGAATAAATAAAGATTAACCAGTTTGTTTAGGCAGAAAACCTTTATTACATAATAAAATTTAAAAGCTGACACTGAAAAGTACTTACAACAGCCATTATTGTGACTTTGGTGTGTTATTTTCATTTCACTGCTTCATTCTCAGGGGTTTCACTTACGATGGCGTTCTTGCACTCATGTCCTCTGCACAGCTCTGTGTAAGCCGAGTACTGGACGTAGAGAACCCAGCTGCCAACCAGGACGGTGAGCCAGGTGAGGAACAGGTACTTCACCCGCACGAAGGAGATCCGAGCCTGGAGGGAAGAACCAGAGACACGGAATCATCGTTTAAAAGCAGACAGTAATCAATTGGTATAAAAAAATATATATATATGTGCATCATTTTTTCTTTTATGTTCTCGTTTTATTAAGAAGCATTTACATGTAGTCTAGAAATCCAGTCACATTTTACATTGACACACAACCCACCCTGACCACATCATGGGGTTACTAACTAAGGCAGCATGACTTTCCTATCTGCAGCAGATGCCTTTTTTTTTCTTTATCTAAACTTTACATTGCGTGAGATACTTTTTTTTTCTTTTTTGTTTACAGATAGTTCAACTAAATTAATTCCTGCCAGAGTCACAGGATGCATTTATCACGTCTTTACTCTGTCCGTCTCAACAGAGATCCTACTGTTAATGTTATTGCAACCAGTAAAGTAAATCCATAGTGACAAAGGTCAGGGTGAGGTGGGACAGAAAAACAGAACCATGGCTGACAACACAAAGGAGTGATTCACCCTCCAATAAAGCTGCTGACTGGAGCAGCTAGCCAGATCAGCTAGCCAGATCAGCTAGCCTCTGAAGGTTTCACTCCCAGCAGCAGAAACTGAACGCTTAGAAATCTGTACGTGAAGGCAAACTGCAATACTTATATGTAACCAGCAGGGGGAACCAGTTTGGATTTTGCGTCTAGATAAAATCCCTAAGGATTACTTGATGTGTTATTTTTATGAGTGAGTACTCTTCTTTCTCTATGCCAATAGAAATACGTCAAGAAATAACTCTAAAAAGCAAAAAGGTCACCACCGGCAACCAACATTTAAATCTGAAGGCTTCCGAGGAAATACAGGAAGTTTTTAAAATGTCTCATTTTTAAGATGTAGCACAAAACTGAATTGCCTGTCACCTGTCAAACTGGATGACTGAGCACGGTGTGTTGATTTATTAAAATATTATATCATAAGTAAGTTTAAGTAAGCGTTGAAGAGTGAAAAGAACAAAAATAGGTCAACAGCTTGCATCAGACACAATACACAAGTAATCAGACAAAGCTGCCGCCGGTTTTCAACCCAAGTCCTGTAACCACTCCTGAGAGGATCAAGTCGTTTTAATTCTCCCTTTGATCGCATGGCAGGAACAGCTTATGTTGTGTATTTTGGCAGCTTCGCTCGCCTCTCATTTTGTTCTAGCACATTCTAACAAAACACAGTCTGCAGCTGCACAGAACCAGAGGCCGGTGCTACACTTCTTTTTTTTTTTTATCTCGGATTTGCTCTGATTACTGTAGCATGTAAACAGGACAGGCAGGGGTCTGTTGTTTGTTACAATGGACTTTATATTTGCAACGATTATTAAATGTGTGCATTCTATTCTCTGTTTTTGGAGACAATGAGCTGTGGTAGAAAGAAGTATGAACTTGTTTCTGTCTGAGATTTCATTCTGTGTTGATTTACCCCATATTGTCTGTCAGTACCCAGCAGAAAGACCCAATTATCTAAAATCTCCAGGTGATGTTCTTGATGCCAATGATGTTCTCCAAGGCCTTTTGAATTAAGGCCTACACCACACCACAGTGGGGGTGGGTTGCGTCTCCACCTCTCCATCCTGGATTTCACACCAAACTCACAAGAAGTGAGAATTACAGAAAATTCTGTAATTCAGTTCACTGCGAGTTTACTCACTCCCAGATGAAAATAACGGCAATCATATTTCACCTATTTTTGTTTCCCTTCTTTGGCCTCCCTGCTATATGCAGAATAAAGTTTAAAAATGCTCCGTTTCACATATAAAGCCCTTAATAATCAGCTACATAAAACATCAAAGATCTGATTGGTCCATATGCTCTAACACAGAACGTCACTGACTGCTAGACAAAACTATTGGCAGGGGTTTTGTTGTGGTTAACAGTATGCACTCTGTTTTATTGTAGCTTTAAAACCAGCTAGATGAAGTTACTACCACCTTTAACCTTTCTTTAAATTAGAAATCTCTCCTTGATCAATGCTTCTTTTCTTTTTTGTGTGCATTTGCCGTCTTCTCAAACCTTCAGTCGGTCGTGTCAGAAGGCCATTTACACCGAGTCAGGTTCTGATTCTGGTTCTAGTGGCGGTTTCTTCTTGCTAAAGAGGAGTTTTTCCTCTCCACTGTGGCTCTATGATCTGTATGAGGGATTGCTGTAAACTCAATAGCATAAGCGATTGTCTGCAGACGCCACGTGTTCATCCAGAACTAGTGAATTTTGTCAGTCGATGCGACCTGCTGGGTTTCCTTAGATAGGAAACTTTTAACCAATCTGAAAAATAAGTTTGATAACTTGGAGCAACTGGAACATTATGTGCTTGACATGGAATCTGTGTATCATTGGATTGAATTTCCTCTTTTATAAAAAAATATATATTGTAAAATGGCTTGAGACATGTTGTGAACTGGTGTGCTTTAAAAAAACTAAATTAAATTTTGCAATCTCCATGTTTGCATTTGTAAAGAAGATAAGTAAAAAGGTGGTAAAAACGGGTCATATTCATGTTTTTAACCCAGAGAAACAGGAAGTCATGGCTTACTAATTCTAAGTTCCTGGTTCCAGTCTGATCAACCTGAAATGCCCAAGTTGTGCTTAAAATTTTGAAAACTTTAGAGTGCCTGTAGTTTACCCTCGTCCCCCTAAAAAAAACAGTTCTTTATTTTGGATTTTCCACATTGAATGAGACGGTAGCTCTAATCAAAAGATGATGTTTTTTTTTCTTTCTTTCTTTTTTTTTTACAGTGTGGAGGTCACAGCATCATAAACAAATGTAAATACACAATATCCAAGGGTAATGAGTCAATGCAAAATTAATTACCATGTAAAAGGTTATAATTACAAAACTTTTCCCACACATGTAGCCCCATATAATGACCACCTCGGTGTCTCATTCTTAGAATGATATTCACTGTCACAGCCATGGTAATGAGGATGACAAACATACTGAACATCTTCAGTTGACTGTTCGATCACTGAGTCATGTGTATATTTTATCATCTTCTCACTGTTGCATTTCAGTTATTGGATCTCTCCTGCTCACAGATGAGCCCACAGATAAGCGTCAACACAACACCAAGGAGCAAAGACATGAGCAAAGATTCTAGAAAAGCAAATGTTGCCGATCGACCTGGCAAGTACTAAAGGGCATTTTATTTGAACACAATAATTCTAAAGTGAGCAATTTGTTCACAGGTGCAAAAATATTACAGCTTCCGATCTCAGACTGTGCAATATTCAGAGACATCAGAACTTCAAAGTTCATGTCAGTCCAATTAGAAGAAGACTGAAGAAAAACAGATTGTTTGGAAAGGGCTGACAACAGAGAGCGTCTTAATATTGCACCACGACCCGTTTGGAAAGTTTTGAATTAGAGGCCTCTGAATGAAAGACCAAACTCGACGAGACCAAAGCAGTGTTGTGTATTTAATTCTTCTAGAGTCAAAACGTGAGGCCATTAGCCCGTCAGTCAAAGCTGGGCTTAAACTGGGTCATCAGCATGTTAACGATCCCAAAAACAGCAGCAAATCTACAACAGAATGACTGAAGGAAGAGTTAAGATGTGCCAATGACCCAGAAAAAGTCCAAAACCGCTCCCCCAGACCCAACTGAGAGTGGTGAGCCACTCTCTTTCTCCTGTGACTGTATAAACATGGAATGTATGTTGAGTGCATTGATGACATGATGTTGGAGTAACATGAGAAAATTTTGCACAGACAGCACCAAAACCAATAGACAAGAACCAGAACTTTTCTGAACAAGACGATGAAACATTCATCAATGAAGTCATTGTATCGTCAACTAAGTTTTTGTGGTTTTCGGGTCAAAGCACTAAATCCTTCAGCTTAAAAAAAGATTTATAACAGAAGACAAAGTATATCGGCACATATAAGGAATGAGTCCATAGACGCCTTATGAGGCTCTTCAGCTAGAAATACTTGTTTTATTCCAGCTGTAGATTTAGCACAATTACCCAACATATTCTAAGGACTGTCATTGTCCACTTGGTGGTGCATCTGGAGCATCACAAGCACTGACCTCTGCAAATACTTGAGACCTGCTCTAAAAACACTGCTGACTGCCCATTTCAATAGTCCAAACATCAGATATGTCTTAATAAGGTTAATATGTAGAGTGGAAACCATCAGCCAGGAGTAGTTTGCAGCTATAGGTGAATCTAAGGTATTCCATTTAAACAACCAAAAGAAAAAAAAGTGGAAGCCATTTTAAAAACAGAAAGAAAAACTAAATCATTCTACACTTTGCCTAATTTCACATATTTTTATGTTGCCATGATTTTATTGACTATATGTTTAATTGTGATTCTAATCATATTTACTGAGGAATTACTGAGGAGTGGCGCTCACCGAGAGCGTCTCTGTCTCTCTGTCCATCATTTGCCCTGTAAGCGTTCTGAGATGGAGAAAGCTTGAAGCAGCTTAACCCAACAGAAATGTGCACTTAAACAATTCCAGCGTCTCTCTCTGAATAGAGATCATCCTGACTGCTATCTACTGCAAATGAGACGCTGACTCCTCATAATTAGTCCCTATAATCACACTTGAAAAAACAAAAAAACAAAACAAAAAAAACCAACCCAAGTATCAATTTTAAAGCTGGACAGATTTGCCCTCTGCTAAACTGTTTAGCTTTCAAACAATGTCTGCCCCAAAGAGATGAACACACAGATAGATGGACCCTGGGGAAAGAACAGGGAGCACAACCAGCACTCTTCATTGTCAGATGGAACTGCTTAGACATGCATTACTCTAGTCTATGCAGAAAGTCTAAAATATATATATATATATCGAGACAAAAGGGTTAGAGTGGAAGGAAAAAAGCTGCAACAGGAGAGTCATACCCTGACACTCTGAGCTGGTTGAGTGATGAATATGGTGAAAGCTTTTGAATTAAAAAAGTGAAACCCAAGCAGCAGATTCCTGAGGTCCAACTGTCTCCTCTTCATTAACAACCAACAGCCAGCGAGTTCAGGATTCAGGACAGGGGT